GCTGCCACAACTTCGCGACTCTAGCTGGGGGGGAGAAGGGAGGGGGAGGGAGAAGGGTGTAGAGGAGGGGGAGGAGGTGGCGAGAGAAATGGAGAGAGACGCGACGGAGAAAGAGAGACGAGAGTGGGTGAGGAATGGTCGTCTTTTTAAGAAATAATCTCAAATCTTAATATGATATCAGAGCTCATGAAACTCCAACAAACGATTCGATTCGAATAAGACTCAAAAAATGAGCATATGAATTTCAAAATTGATTTACTCAAACGATCCACCATCTTGCAGGAGTATATTAAGGGATAAATCCTATATCAAAAGAGATGAAAACATAGACTAATTTATAAGAGTTTGGGCTAATTCTCTTAATAAAGTTAACTATGAATTTGTAAAAATTTTATAAAATTAATTAGACTTGAATTTCAATTAATTTTGGGATTTAGTATTCAAAGATTTAGTGCAAGTAAAAAAAGAAATTCGGAATAACTGAATTCATTGTTATTTCTTAAGATAATATTGAGAATTGGATCGGAATCAATTGATTCTTGATGTATGGTACCGGAGTCTGACTCGAACCCGAACCCGAACCCGAACCCAAACCCGAATCGATTGGTTTTATTTGGTTCCGGTACTGTTTCACCTAGGTAAAAATATCCAATCCTAATTTTCACGTTCACGAATTTTAATACACTTTGCAGGCTTTAGTCATTGTGCTGATTCCCAAGTCAACCAAATTAGTGGAGATTTACATGGTGGGTCGTTCTCAAATAGCAACGTTTGACTGTGCTTGCACGAAATTACTAAGAAATATGGCCGGCGGCTTAGGGTTGGACCATCGCTGCACCATAAATTCCATTCTAAAAGAGATGTCCAAATTTGACTTTGCCCGACTAACTTGACCCCCAAGAACATCTCTCCAGCCACCACGCAACACTATTCTGATTTGCACGCGTACGAAATAGTTTAACGTAGTATCAAACAAATTGAATCTTGACTTTGTTACTTATTTACTATTAAAAATTAGGCACGAATTGTATTTTACCAAAGAATAAATTTAATTTTAGTTAAATAGCCTCAAGAATCTCTTAGCGGTCGTCACATATTGCATATGTACATATATGAAGTGGTTTAACACGACGTTATAAAAATGTTGTGACTTTAGGTTTCACAATTATCTATTTATTATAAAATTATGTATATTTTACAATTTCTAGAAGAAGGAAAAAAAAAATTAATGGTTAAAAAAAAACGTAATGAGAATAATTTAAATAAATAAAATATGCCCACATCCTTGACCCTTGTGGGTATATATATATCCTCTATACCCTTTAACCACTCGTTGCACCAAAACCCATAAAAATAACCTCTTTTCTCAGTCCTTCTCCCTCAAATTTTCTCATTACAACCTAAAATGGGTCGAAAAAACCTAGTATCTCTAGTGTTCTTGATTATACTTGCTTCAGTTGTGTCCTCTACTCAAGGCCGGAAGCTCTTAAACGTGAAACATAATACAACGAAGCAGACTCCATTATTGGACGAAAATCTGTATTTAAATGTCCTTCCTAAGGGTACAGTGCCATCTTCTACCCCAAGCAACAAGGGCCATTCCGAGCCGATTGACGAAAAGCTCGTCAAGCGCCACCTTGGAGCGGTCGAACGGATTCTCGGGTCGGTTCCTAGCCCCGGCGTTGGACACTAGTCTCGTTACAGATTCTTTAGTTTTCTTTTCTGTAATCTACTATATTCTTTTATTAATGGGATTAAATCACGATATTTTAATCCCGGTAGGTCTTTCAAACGATTATTGATATGGATGAGTTTGTGACTAATAGGCCACAGAAAATATTAGTTTTCCTGATTGATTTGATTATATTCAGTTTTAATTTTAACGTTCTGTTTGTTCGTTTATATAATTAGTGAATATTCTTATGAAGTTTTTACGTAGAATGACTTCGTGTAAAAGCTTTTAACTTTTAAGTGGCTGTAGACGTTAAACTCACTTAGTCGAATGCCAAATTTTATTTCATCGCCAAAGGCCTAATACCGCGCTTAATTTCTAAAAATATTGACAACGAAACTTGAATATAAGAATCTTTACTTTCTCATACTAAGCCCCTGTTTGAGCCACATAAAAATTATCATTCTCATTCTTCTGCTCATTTTCAATCACACATTTTTCAATAAAATAATATTTTCATTCACATCAGTAACTTTTTCTTCTTTTTCGACCACACATTCTCCATCAATCTACTATTTCAAAATATATTCTTCTATAATAATGTAGCTCAAACACATCCTA